TTTTTTGTATTTTTAGTAGAGACGGGGTTTCACCATGTTGACCAGGATGGTCTCGATCTCTTGACCTCGTGATCCACCCACCTCGGCCTCCCAAAGTGCTGGGATTACAGACGTGAGCCACCGTGCCCGGCCAAGGCTATTTTTTAAATCAGAATTTTATTCATTTACTTATTTATTTTTGAAACAGAGTTTTCCTCTGTCATCCAGGCTGGAGTACAGTGGCATGAGCTCAGCTCACTGAACCTCTGCTTCCTGGGTTCAAACCATTCTCCTGCCTCAGCCTCCTGAGTAGCTGGGATTACAGGCATGTGCCACCACGCCCGGCTAATTTTTGTATTTTTGGTAGAGACAGAGTTTCACTATGTTGGCCAGGGTGGTCGCCAACTGCCCACCACAAGCGATCGCCTGCCTTGGCCTCCCAAAGTGCTGGGATTACAGGCGTGAGCCATCCATGCCCAGACAAAATCAGTATTTTTTTTTTTTTTTTGAGACGTAGTTGCACTCTGTCGCTAGGCTGGAGTACAGTGTGTAGTAGCACCATCCCAGCTCTCTGCAATCTCCGCCTCCCAGGTTCAAGTGATTCTCTTGCCCCAGGCTCCTGAGTAGCTGGGATTACAGGTGTCCGCCACTATGCCCAGCTAATGTTTTGTATTTTTAGTAGAGATGGGTTTCACCATGTTGGCCAGGCATTCCTGACCTGACTCGAACTCCTAACCTTGTAATTCACTCGCCTTGGCCTCCTAAAGTGCTGGGATTACAGGCATGAGCCACTCACTGTACCTAGCCTCTATCAGAATTTTAAAATACAAATAATCCATTCGTCGAAGTGGTGATTTCGTTTAGTTACCCAATCCAGGTACTTTTTTGAAAAATAGCCTGGAAACAGTGTTTCTGTGAATTGTTCATTTATGCATTATGCATTATTTTGGGGTGTTATATAGAATATAATAGAATATGTAACATCCCAAATTGTACTCAAAAATAGCCATACATAATACATATTTAGTCTGAAATTTTATAGCTAAGCTTTACTATGGGTTATATGATCTTTCAATTATTAAGAATAGGTTTCACAGTTAACATTTATACCTCTTATTACCTGGCACAATGCCTTATACCTAATAAAACATTTTATAGTTGAACTGCTTATAACTTTTACTGTTTTTATTTTTAGAAAAGGTATAGTTTGGCAGTGGGGCCTCCAAAAAAAGACCCAAAAGTTAAAGGTGTCCAATCAGCAGCTGTACAAGCTTTTCTTAAAAGGAAAGAAGAGGAACTCAGACAAAAAGGTATGTATATATAGCCTTATTCTCAATTTTAAAGTCTTCCATCTTCACATCTAGTTCATACTAAACCCGTGGCTATTTGTAAAAATATAACAGGCCAACAGATTTGGGGGGGGGGGGGGGGGGGGGGGGGGTGTGTTGAGGTTAACTGACTGTGTATTCACGGCTTTACATATGTCATCTTGATCACTGGTATAAAAGTTTTCTCGGCCGGGCGCAGTGGCTCAAGCCTGTAATCCCAGCACTTTGGGAGGCCGAGGTGGGTGGATCACGAGGTCAAGAAATCGAGACCATCCTGGTCAACATGGTGAAACCCCGCCTCTACTAAAAATACAAAAAATTAGCTGGGCATGGTGGCGCGTGCCTGTAATCCCAGCTACTCGGGAGGCTGAGGCAGGAGAATTGCCTGAACCCAGGAGGCGGAGGTTGCGGTGAGCCGAGATTGCGCCATTGCACTCCAGCCTTGGTAACAAGAGCGAAACTCCGTCCCCAAAAAAAAAAATTTTCTCTTTTTCTCCCCTTGAAGTAACAGCTTTTTATGGGTTAGTAACCATGTCTTCTAATTGGTCATAGTAAGTCCTCAGTAAGAACTCCAGTCTTCCTTTAATTTAACCTTGGTTCTGAAAGTGTTTCTACCCATTTTGCATTTCAATTTGTATTAACAGAATGCTATCTAAAAGGCTAAAATAGAGATAAGTTTTAAAGCCTTTATCTTGAATAGTTCTGCTTAATGCAAATACAAAGAAACTGATTCAATATGTTTAAGTATTCACTGAATCATAATTAATGACAACTGCTAAGTGGATACTGATGTTCCCTTAACTTGGTAATGTATTCATTTTGAAGTATTTTCTTTTCTTTTTAAATTTAATTTCCTTTTTTTTTTTTCTTTTAGAGACAGGGTTTCTCCATGTTGGTCAGGCTGGTCTCAAACTCCCAACCTCATAATCTGCCCATCTCAGCCTCCCAAAGTGCTGGGATTACAGGCATGAGCCACTGTACCCATCCAAAGTATTTTCTATATTTAAAGCTGAAAACCAAGACTCTCACTTGCTTAGTCATATAGAAAAACCCATATGTCTCCCACCCATTATGTAAAAATGACTCAATTGATACTCGTTCAAGTGACTTCCTCATTTAATTCCTAGATGTCTTCAAACTGTAATCTGAACATTGTGTTTTCACTTGAGCATACTGGAGTCTTAAAATAATAATTTTGTTTTGTCCCTTTTAGCCTTAGAGGAGAAAAGGAGAAAAGAAGAACTAGTGAAAAGGCGAATTGAGCTCAAACATGACAAGAAAGCAAGAGCTATGGCCAAGAGGACAAAGGATAATTTCCATGGTTACGATGGGATCCCTATTGAGGAAAAGTCAAAGAAGAGGCAGACAACGGAAAGCCATACCAGCCAAGGAACCGACCGAGAGTATGAAATGGAAGAAGAGAATGAATTCCTTGAATACAATCATGCAGAGTCAGAGCAGGAGTATGAGGAAGAGCAAGAACCTCCCAAAGTTGAAAGCAAACCAAAGGTCTCCCTTAAAAGTGCCCCACCACCCATGAACTTCACTGATTTACTCAGACTGGCTGAGAAAAAGCAGTTTGAACCAGTGGAAATCAAGGTAGTGAAGAAATCAGAAGAACGACCTATGACTGCAGAAGAACTTAGGGAGCGAGAATTCCTTGAACGAAAGCGTAGGAGAAAAAAACTTGAGACAGATGCTAAACTACCTCCAACTGTGTCCAAAAAGACACCCTCTCAGAAAGAAAGTGTGGGCACAAAACTTAGCAAAGTTTCTGGAGACAGGCATCCCTTTTCCAAAGGAATGCCCCTTCCTCATGCTGAGAAGAAATCAAGACCCAGCATGGCCAATGAGAAGCACTTAGCTTTGTCTTCATCCAAATCCATGCCAGGAGAGAGGATCAAGGCAGGATCTGGCAGTAGCTCCCAACCCTTACTTCGTGAGGGTCATGACAGACCTGTTTTCAATGGAGCTGGAAAGCCTCATTCCAGCATCTGTTCACCAAGTATCCCAAAGACTTCTGCTAGCAGGACTCAGAAATCTGCTGTGGAGCACAAAGCCAAAAAATCTCCGTCCCTTCCTAGCCATTCCAGGCCTGGGCCCATGGTCACCCCACACAATAAGGCTAAGAGTCCAGGTGTCAAGCAGCCAGGCAGCAGCTCTAGCTCAGCCCCTGGGCAGCCCAGCACAGGAGTTACTCGGCCCACAGTTAGTTCTGGCCCTGTGCCCAGGCGCCAGAATGGCAGCTCCAGCTCAGGACCTGAGCGATCAATCAGTGGGTCCAAGAAGCCAACCAATGGCTCACATCCCTCTGGGCGGACAGTCACTGGTACATGTGGCCGTGGACAACCTGCAAGCAGCTCAGGTGGCCCTGGGCAACCTATCAGTGGTTCAGGTAGTTCTGCAAGACCATTGGGCAGCTCTCGTGGCCCTGGGCGGCCTATGAGCAGTCCACATGAACTTCGACGACCAGTGAGTGGCTCAGGCCCCCCTGGGCGGTCAGTCAGTGGCCTGGGGAGATCCATAAGTAGCTCAATTCCAGTTGGACGGACTGTCAGTAGTTCAGTCCCAGGAAGACCAGTGAGTAGCTTGGGACCTGGGCGAACAGTTAGTAGCTCAGGTCCCACCATAAAGCCTAAGTGTACTGTTGTCTCAGAAACAATTTCCTCCAAGAATATCATTAGCCGGTCCAGCAATGGACAGATGAATGGAATGAAGCCTCCCCTATCTGGCTACAGATCTGCCCAAGGTAAAATTTCCCCTCACCCTGAAAAGTATGTATTTGTCATTAGGAAATTAGAAAGAGTTTTTATATTATCAGGGACTCTGTGAACCCTTCATGTGCTGCTCTTTAATGTACTGTAGTGTTGATAGAATCCTGATGTTTCATCTGCCCTGTGGTTTAGAGTTCCTTATTTTTTTTGTTTTTGAGACAGGGTCTTGCTCTGTTGCCCAGGCACAGTCATAGGCTCAAGCTGTTCTCCCACCTTAGCTTCCAAAGTAGCTGGGACTATAGGCGTGTGCCACCATGCCCAGTTAACTTTTTATTTTTTATAGAGATTGGGTCTCAGTATGTTGCCTACACTTGTTTCAAACTCCTGGGCTCAAGGCATCATCCTTATTCAGCTTCCCAAAGTGCTGGGATTATAGGCATGAGTGACCATTTCCTGCCAAGAGTTCCTTTAATGATCATGGCTTGGAAAGGTCTTTAGAAAGAGACTTGTCTAGGATCTCTGTGTTCACCCTTGAAACATCCCTAAGTGTGATAAACTTAGCTTTGTGATTTGTGAACATTCAGGGTGAATGTATATAACTTACATATATATGCTACAGTGGATGAATTAATCCACGTTTTCCTGAGGACTAAAGAGACCTGTCTTCAAGGATCAGAGTGTCATTGTCAGCTTATTCAGCAGATATTTCTTGGGCACCCATTATGTGCCAGGAACTGTTTTTAGACTGTCCTTGTGTTTCTGTTTCTTATAGTGACTAGTGTCAAGGTCCTAAACACTGATCCTTCAGGAATCTACAGTCCCAAGGTACAGGATCATTGGTGGCACCTGCTAGTTTCTAGGTCATAGTTGCTTCATGCTAATAGGCATTTATTAAAGCACTCATTAGACACCATGGAGAATATAAAAGGGAACCAATGATTGAATTACTTATTGTAAATTTCCAGTAGTTCAGCTAGACCACTGATTCTTTTTTGTTGTTGTTTTTGAGAGGGAGTCTCGCTCTGTCGCCCAGGCTGGAGTGCAGTAGCACGATCTCCGCTCACTGCAACCTCTGCCTCCAGGGTTCAAGCAATTCTCCTGCCTCAGCCTCCTGAGTAGCTGGGATTACAGGCACGCGCCACCACACCCAGCTAATTTTTGTATTTTTAGTACATACGGGGTTTCACCCTGTTGGTCAGACTGGTCTTGAACTGCCTGACCTCGTGATCCACCTGCCTCTACCTCCCAAAGTGCTGGGATTACAAGTGTGAGCCACCACCCCTGGCCATCCATTGTATCTTTAGGAGGGCAATTTTGCTCTCAAGGAGACTTTTGGCAATCATCACAACTAGGGATGGGGGAATTCTACTGGCATCTACTGGATATAGGCCAGGGATGCTGCTGATTGACAATGCGCAGGATAGCACCCCCCCCAACAACAAATAATTATATGGTGCTAAATGTCACAGAATTAAGGTTGAGAAACTCAGCTAGGATACAAGCCATGCATATTAAAAACAACTGTAGATGAACAAAAGAAGTGTCTGTAATCAAAAACTAGAAAGTAGTTGTTCCCAGATGCTGGGCTGTTGATCAATGCCTATCTTCTGCAGTTTTTTTTTTTTTTTTTTTTTTTTTTTTT